TATGGTTTTTTTTTTCTTGTATTTCAATTGTTTTCCGTAGTGTTGAAAATATTGCTCTTACAGTCTTAACCCTTCGAATCCGTTGGTGTTCTATAAACATCTAACGGATTGAAATCAAGATTTCATAAACGTTAAGAGATTTTGTGCAATCACAAGTCTCTAGTTTTGTTTACCAATTACGATTGGATAAACACCATTCACACCTTGACTGAGTCTCAGAATTGTGTTTGGTTTGCATCATTAGAATTCTCATTGGAAATTCGGAAATGAATGCTGCAAGTGTGTTTGGTTCTAAATCACATTGAATGTGTTGAGACCTGCAACTTTCTCTCTCAGACGAAGAGAAACAATGCTCACTGTCACGAGAACTTACTAGCCTCAGACTTGGGTTTTTCTTTGCAAACAGAGAAACATCAATCGAAATCTCCTTGGAGGTTCGAAAACTAAGTGTTGCGTTGGTTATAACTCAGCTTTCAATAATGATTTTAAGCCCGAGTTCATAACCTGCAGCTTGTTATCTCTGCAAAAGAATCAACAATTGGTAATCAAAGGTTCGATATCAGACTTGAGTTGAGATTCTTCTGCATCGAAACCTGCAACTTGGTTTTGTTTTGGAAAGGAGATAAAGAAAATTTTTGGTTTGAACTTGCAATTTTTTTTTAGGTTGAGAAACATGTAGTCTCGTTAAGACTTATTGTCTCTTGCTAATATTTTTGCAAACCAAAATATAATAAACGTGACCTGCAGTTCTTTGTTCTTGCAAAACATGTAATACTATTTTTTGCAAATCAAAGTATCATACATGCAGTCTCGTTAGTGGTGAGATTGTTGTTGTGTTTAGCAGCTCTAGCACTAAGACATCGAAACCTAAGTGTCCATTTAATTATTCTTTGCAAATTTGGAATAGTTGAATGTGAACCAGGTTGGTTTTGAAAAAACCAGCTACTCGGTTCTTGGATGTGATCATAAACGATTCCACAACTGCTTAGTTAGCAATTTTTTACACGTTTACTAGCAATGGTGTGGACGTCTTATGATCATATCCACAGAAAAATTGTAATTTTTGGCAAAGTAAATTACATTTGTTCTAAGGTATTGACATATTTTGTGTCTTTCGTGAACAGATGACGAATGATGCTATAAGCGTTGGATTGATGCCAGAAAAGTTTGATGGAAATGGGTTTAAGGCGTGGCAACAGAAAATTTACAATTATCTGACCATGTTGAGCCTAGACAAGTATCTAAAAGAGGATACACCGGTTACCCCACCAGATCATACAGATAAGCTTCTTCTAGCAAGTGTGAATGCGTGGATCCATTCAGATTTTCTGTGCAAGAGTTGGATTCTAAGCTGTTTGAATGATCGGTTGTACGTTGTAAACAACAAGTTCAAAACCTCTAAAGAGCTTTGGAATGCTTTAGAGAAAAGGTATCAAGTTGAGGACGAAAGCTTGATGAAATACGCTACGGCAAATTTTCTTGACTTTAAAATGGTGGATTCAAAACCCATCATGGAACAAGTGGAAGCTCTACAGTCTTTGAAGAGTGAGATAGCATCTACGGGGATGATGATTAGTGAAATGTTCATGATCAACTTCCTCATTGCAAAACTCCCTCCAAGTTGGTTGGGTTTCAAAGAGTATATTTCTCACAAGAAAAATGTAATTTCTCTCGAAGACTTGATTGGCGAGATGCAAGTTGAATCACAAATCCGCAATGCCGATGTTATTTCGTCTTAGTGAGAAAAATGTCGACATGGTGGAACATGAATAACAAGGGTTATGTTCGGGATAGACGGATCAAAATAATTGTGACGACAGTCATCCCAAAATAAGTTGTAACCATTGTTTTTTTTTTTTTCAATTAATAAGAAAAATAAATTTTATATATATTTTCCTTTTGATTGAATTTTTTGACCTTTGGCATGAAATGTGGGGGAAGCACTTCTTACCACATAGAGTCATTGGCAAAAATGTGATATGAACCTTGCAAAAGGAGTTATACAAATACCTTGTAATGTGGGGGTGTAAGATAAAGTCTCAATATCACCTCTTAATAAGGTTCATAGACCAAATTAAAATCCATGTGAATAAAATATTTGAATGGGATATATATATATAATGGCAAGAATCTTCATATTCGAAGACGACATAAGACCATTAAACACTTGATAACTAGTGGTGAAATTACACTAGAATATACAACATCAGCTGATAATCGTGTGAACTCCTTTACTAAAGGGTTAGTTTAAAATCAAGTGGTAAAATCATCGAGAGGAATGGGTTTAAAGCCTATGACTTAAGAAGACGTTTGGTGGACACCCCACTTATATGACTGGAGATCCCAAGAACTAAGTTCAAAGGGAAAACTAAATCAAACAGAATCTACTGGAGCACTTTATGACTAACAGTCACAACCCAGTTCCTAAGATGATAAATAGTGCTTCGTGTGTCGATAAAGGATAAGCATTGCTTTTAATGATCACGTCCATAGCTTTGAAATATCAATGGAGTCCTTACACATGACTTCTGAACAGAAATGCTAATGGCGAATCACCTAGTGAGTGTGAAATGGGGCCGTTTCTAGGAGAATGAAGGTCAGGCTATATTCTCTAAGTTCACTCATGAAATACCAGGCATGTTCACGGCCAAAACGAACACAATAGAGAACTAAAATTCTACGAGAAAATGTTATTGCGCGATACATGTTGTCTAGGTTTACATAAAAATCCGGGTGGTTCAAGACATCATGTTCACCTCCTGGCCGAGTAAATCCGACATATATTAAAAATGAATGGTTCAAAGCTGAAAAATGCTACCTTTCTGAGACGGTAACATTTTCGTTTACTCTCGAAAGTCTGTCCAGTCTAGTCTAAGTCATGTATAGGCTAGTCAAGTATAGGTTCTAGAAAGAGTTTTTTGAGTCTTCATATGTTTAGGGTCATTTCTATTCATGTGGGGGATTGTTGGAACTATGTTTTACATAAGCTAATTGGGCTTAGTAAAACTAATTAGTGTGAATGTGAAATGGGCTTAAGAAAGGCCTATCTCATGTTGGAGCTCCAAGAGGAGTAGGGTCAAGTTGAAGTAGAAACAAGAACGACTTCTGTTTTGCACTTCCGTGAGAATAGGTCTCCATTGTTTTATGAATCCCTGAGAATCAGTAACATGGAAACTCATCACGTTGCCCACCTCTCCTAGATTTGCGTTGGGTGTGGTTGATTGATTTCAAAATCAAACTTATCCTAAACCTCTATATAAACACACAAGTTCAAGTCTTTGTAAGAAGAATCGACAAGTAACGCTTGGTCGAGTAGAGACTTAGAACACACAAATTCCAGCAATCTCTCTCTATCACAAAGTAAGTGTCTTCGAGAGTATCGTAGTGTTTTAGTTCGATAGGGCTGTTATTCGAGTGTAGCGAAAACAGTTATAGAGAAGTTGTATCCTGGGATCCTTGAATCACATAACACCGTCACACTACGGGTGATTCGAAGGGTTAAGGAAAGAGGATATGTACTCGACTCTTCTCATCTCTCTTCCTTAACGTTTATGGTTTTTTTTTTCTTGTATTTCAATTGTTTTCCGTAGTGTTGAAAATATTGCTCTTACAAAATCTTGAATACAAGAAATGATTAATCATGACTCCGAAGGAAAAGGGAAACCAGCGATCTTGAAAGCAGTCATGCCACCGTCAACGACCAAGTTATGTCCGGTAACGTATTTACCATCTTCGGAAGCCAAATACAAAGCAGCTTTAGCTACGTCAGCTTCTTCACACTCGGCTCCTTTCAACTCACCCATTCCTTTCACTGTCTCACGTAGCTTCTCCTCCGTCACCTTGGGGAACACTTTCTTAAGATAAAGGAGAGTGAGCGGTGTAGCCACGGTACCCGGCGAAATGCAGTTGATGCGCACACCGTGTTCGCAGAGCTCGCTAGCCACCGACTTCACGATTCCGGGGATTGTGAACTTTGAGATTGTGTATGAATGCGGAGCCAATCCTCCGGTCACGCCTATGTTATTTTTGGACCATAACAAAAGTCAAATTTTAGCGTTGATAAATGTAACAACTAAAACCATCCACAATGGCAGAGTTCCATTAGAGGTTCTTACAAATACTTTTAGTATTAATAAGCGATGTTGTAGATTTTAAATTTACACTCTTCTAATGGTAAGGTCTATAGAGTTCTTTAAAAAATATATTATTTAATTTTATAAAAGAGAAAAGCTTTAAATTATTGCATTTTATAAAATTTTAAACAAATATGACATAAAAGCAAATGTAAATATGAAAATCATAAAAACGAATCATATTAGTTAGCTTGATTAATTGCGTGAAAGAGAGAATAAAAAAAGAAATAGTTAGGATTGTATTTGTCAATATATATATATATTTTACACACCATCCACTCATACACTACCACGTAAACGTCTCTTACCGCAACAAAAACTCCTATTTAGTAGACGGTTCTCTCCATTAACACCAATTAAAGATTAAATTTTAATTATTTTACCCCTAAAAGCTCTATAAGAACCCACCCTTGTGGATGGTCTCAATGGCTTTTAATTTAAAGTATATGGTTGAAGAAAATGCGAAATAATGAAGTAAGATTCTATATACAAAATGATGCAATTAGTATTCTAACTAATGAAATACTTGGATTAATGTTAATATATACCTGCAATGCTTGATGTGCACAAAATGCATCCTGACTTAGCCCGTACCATAAACTTAGCAGCGTGTTTGATGCCGTAGACAACTCCAAAGACGTTAGTCCTCATCACTCTCTCGAACTCCATCATATCAAGCTCCGATATGCTCGCTGGAGTCATGGGTCCAGCAATCCCAGCGTTGTTGTACATCACGTCTAGCTTCCCGTACCGTTCCACAGTCATTTCCACGGCCTCGGCGATATCAGCCTCCACCGTGACATCACACCGCACAAACTCTGCCGCCGAGCCTAGCTCCTTAGCGGCCTTAACCCCTGTTTCGACATCTAAGTCGGCGATCACGACTCGGGCACCGTGCCGGAGAAACTCGCCGGCCGTGGCTTTACCAAGACCGCTTGCTCCACCGGTTATGAGCGCTACTTTGCCTTCTAGCTTTTTGCTGCATGAAAATTATTACCGCTTGAAAAGTAGTAAATTGTGATAATGTTGTTGATTGATTCTAATATACATGTGCGAAGTTGTCAATGGAAAAAAAAAAAAAGTTGATAGTATTTTAATCAACCACTTTTAAGTTGTAACATAGTAATTAATTACTGCTTCCGCTACGTTAATAATCTATTTTTACTGTATTTCACAAAAAACAAATATTTGTGTGAGATGTAGATAAAATATATAGCATCTACAGAATTGTGGTGACTTACGAACAAGAGGACAAGATCAATTGATTTAAAATGTGATCGTTATCTTAAAAAAAAAATATGTGATCGATATGGTCCGTATGAGAAAGACAAAGGAAGAAACTAACCTCATACAAGTACAACCGCGGCCACCACTTGTTGAGTAAGCGGCTGAGGCTGTGGTGGCTGGCCGGTTAAAATTTCTGACGAAAGAAGGAGAAGAAAAAACCAAAAAAAAAACTTAAGGTGATTTAGAAACCTTTTAGTAAAAAAAAACTGTTGAAACGAATTAGTTAAACTAAAGATTAATTAGTAACTGAGAGATGATTTGAAGTTCACCTAGCGATGGATCTGATAAGTACGGCCGCCATAGATGACTGCTTTCTTGAGATCTAAAGATTTTTCAAGTCTTGGTTTTGGTTCTAAACTGATGACGCACTAATGGTTAGCTACAACATTTTAATATATTCTTTTTTTTTTTTGGGCAAATTTTTTTTTTTTTTTTAAATATATTCCATGTTTAGATCGAGTAGAACAATACTATATAGACCCGGCCTTTCACCCATTTCTGAAATACATTTGTATTGGGTCTCAAATATTTTAAGCTCATTTTGTGATTTTTTTTTAAATAAATTAAAATAAATACTAGGCTGTATAAAAGGTTCCATAATTTGTAAAAGACCTCAAAATCAACGCAAAATATAACAGTTTTAGTTAAAAAAAAAAGAAAAAAGACATTTAGTAAAAAAAACTGCTTATTTTTTTTTTATTGTATTTGGCCCCCAAATTTACAGGACCGGCACTTATATCACGTGGATGCATCTCCATAACCATATGGCCATGGGCAGAAACGTGTTTGGGTTAGGTGGTATTATGTTTTATTAAATAGAATTTCAATACGAGCAAGAAAAATTATAGTTATAACATATCCGTTTGTAACGTAAGAATTGTTTTGCTTTTATCATTTAGTGGAAGATATAATTTACAATACTTTTGAGGGTAGTATCACATATGATCTTGGCATAACACTATCCAATTTTATGTGGTTTTCCATTTAAATGTGAATTTTGAAAACCATAATATCTATTTTTTCTTTACAAAAATAATTGTTAGAAAAATAAATAAATATTAGTAATTGATCAGTAATTGACAAAATTACTATCAAGATAAAATCTATTTAATTATCATTTTTGGAGAAAAAAAAAATAATCACTTTGCCATAATGATTATCTAGACTTCTGAAATGTCAAAACTCCAAAGAGAGGCTAAATCTATAATTCCAACCATATAATATGATTATCTCATAGATTACAAAAGATCACATTAATAATGATCTCAAAGCACTCATAATAGCTATATCGAAAAACTAAGAAATTAGAAAGACTTTAATCAACTTGAGTAAGTAACTAAGCAGAAGGGAGATTAAGAGACTTGAAACAAGTAAATCCACCATCCACAACAAGGTTATGTCCCGTTACAAACTTAGCATCATCTGATGCTAAGTACAAAGCAGCTTTAGCCACATCTATCTCCTCACACTTCTCTCCCTTTAGCTCCCCCGTCGAGTTCACAATCGCCGAAAGCTGTTCCTCCGGGATGTTATGACCCGCAAAGGCCTCTCGAAACATCCTCAGCGTTAGAGGCGTAGGGATGCCTGCGGGAGATATACAATTGATTCTCAATCCATGCTTGCACAACTCACTAGCAACCGCCTTAACAACACCCGGGATAGTGAATTTAGAGATTGAGTATGCGTATGGTCCTAGACCTCCCATCAAGCCGCTAACGCTAGAGAGGCAAAGGATGGAGCCTGAGCCAACAGGGATCATGGCTCGAGCCGCGTGCTTTATCCCTAAGACAGTACCTCGCACGTTGAGACGCATCACTTTATCGTAAGTGTCCATGTCTAGGTCCGCTATGCTTGGTGGTGATATGGAGCCTGCATTGTATACATGAGCAATGTATTTACATAAAAATATGTATATATAGTTTCCTAATAACAAAATTCTTGCATAAAATTTGGGACAAAATAGCTTGGCTAATTTGATGATATTTGATTAAAAAGTAATAACTAAACTATATAAAAATTGTGGATTTGCAACTAATGTTTTTATTATTCTTATCTTAAAATAGTTTAATACAAAAAAAAAAAATTGCCGCCCAAAATTCATCACAAAAATAAAGATAAAAGCATATTTTGGATATTCATATATGTTATCTATTAGTATAAATAAATTTTAAAAATAGATTCAATTTATATAATTCTTATATGTTCCTTACATGACATTCCGGCACTATTGAGCATTATGTCGAGCTTCCCATGACGAGACACGGTAGTCTCCATGGCCTTAGCGACTTGTTCCTCCTCGGTGACATCACATCTTAAGAAATGTGCGGCTGAGCCAAGTTTGTCCGCGACCATATGACCAGCCTCTTCATCTATATCTACGATAATCACTTGAGCACCTTGGCTCACAAACTCCTCTGCCGTGGCCTTCCCTAGGCCACTTGCACCACCGGTTATGACCGCTATTTTTCCTTCTAACTTTCTATTTTCATTAGAAGCACAAAAAAAATAGTTAAAAGGGGTTTTGTGTGTGATTAATTACGATTTCAAGATCGAATCTCGTTAATTAGTATATATATAAAGAGGATCAACCTTGAAGAAGTTGAATAGAGGAGGGTAGAGCTAATTGGCTTGGAGTTCAAACCATTTGGTACAAAGAGTTTGAAGTTTCTGCAAAGAGCAGCCATGGAGAAGAAAAATTGAATTGAAGACTAACTGTTTAATTAGGTAATTAAGAAGAGATTAGAAGCATGTATTGAGAGTGTTTTACCTTGTGAATGACCGCAACATTTTTAATTCTTCTGCCTCTTCTTAATTAGTATGTGAAGGTGAAGTGGAGATCTTTTTGGTGCAAGAGTCTCAAAGCTTTTTATATCATAGGAAACAACGACATAAAAGGTGTGAGAGAAGAAGTAATTTAGATTATATCTATCAAGATCTCCATTACTAAAGAAAGAGTATTTTTCTTTGTTCTCATTCTTTTATACTTTAATCTTTAAAGTCTCATTCAACTTTCCACATAGCAACCTATATGCATGTTTCTTTAATATGATTTGTACTATTTCACTAAAATTTTATAATGTTATGTATTGGATAAATATAAGGCTTATAACATGGTAACTTAGTTATAATATAATTAACACAAAAATGATGTTATATAGTTTACTAATAATTTGCTTGATAAAAATATCTAAAATATATTATTTTTTTAACTATTTTCTTACGTATCTACCTTTAAATGACATATCTTCCTTTAGGTTTAAATACACACCAACTGAAATAAATCTTTTAATAGATATATAGTGTGTGTTAATTTTGTAGATTTAGTGCAAAGTAGAAGATCACATATTCTTCTCTAAACAAATTAAATTTAAATGAGTAAAATTACTTATATGTTTAGTAAAATTACTTATATGTTTAATATAAATACAACAGATCATAGTCTACTTTAAACTAAAATAATAATGATACTAACTCCCATCAATTCATCCAACGAATGTACTCAAATCAAAGACCCCATCTAGTAGTAGTGGATAAGAATTGAAAACACAAAAAGAAAAAAGATAGAGAAGAAAAGAATCTTGGATAAGACAGAGATTCTCAATAAAAAAAAGGCAAAATCCACTGAAGAGTGGTTGACCTCAAGAACCGAAAGATGAAAGAAAAGAAGAACTTATAAAAATAATTTCATGTTAGTGGCCACTAACTTGGGTTGGGTAGGTTTTGTTTAATCATGTAATAAAAATATAGAGTTTTGTCTATAGTTCTAGAGACAACAAAGGCAATAACAACACAGTTTTACAGGCTTTTTTACTTCTCTCCAGTTTAATTTAACGATTAAGAAAACTAATCAGTGTGAAATTATTAGGTAACTAGTACAGTAAACTATGATAAAGAATCAAAATCACTTTTGTTTTGTCATATTACGATATGGAAGGAGACAGGCTCTAGACAAAGCAATCTCTATGACTCTGTGTCTCTTATATAGACTTTTTGGTCTCGTTTTACTACAGCAAACAGTATCCTCTAACCTTTTTTTCTTATCACGTGGCTACACGTGTTTTCTATTTCATCACAACGGTAGGCTTCTGCATGAACAAATACATATTCTTCTTGGACTATATCTTATTATCTTCATTAGAGTTGTCGTATCAGAAAATATTCAAAGGTAGCATTCAACATAAGAGATAAATTAAAATATTGACATTCATATATATATATATATAATGCATTGACGAGATAAATTCAAGAAATTCTGATATCTAAAACCATTTTCCAAAACTTTCAATCACTATTCAAACATTCAATAGTTTGGTAAAAGTAAAATTTGAACGGAAGTATATTGAATAATTCATTATGTTTTAATTTTTTTTTTTTTTTTTTGGTATATGTAAATAATACCTTTATTTTAGAAGGTGTCACTACTTCATATAATAGATCATTGTATCATACTTTCATCATGATTTTATTAGAATTATAAGAAGTTTTAAAATTTTCAGTAAATCATGGTGGATATCTATATTAGTATTTTTGCAAACTTTTTTTTGTGTGACATATAATGATTGCATTTACTGCAAAAGGATTTAAATATCTTATTGAAAGAAATTCATTAACCACTAAACTATTTTCGTATGTTAATAAAGAAATTCATGTATATATCTATATTTAAAGACAAGTTAATATGATTATGCGAAATACATATGAAACAACTATTATAAATTTTGTTTGTTTTAAAAGTAATATTTATATAAAGATTGTATGACGGTTTAGATATTATAATAATATTAAACTAGCATTAATTATATATTTCAAAACAGGTTAAAACTTCATCATATTAATTTTTAACAACATCAATATAAGACATCGAATCAAACTTATTTAGCAAAATTTAATATACAATTTTAATAATTTTTCAACAAAATTTCCAGAATAACAGTAAAATTTGAATTAAAAATTAAAATCTAGTGATAAGTTGTAACGCTAACTAAACACTTGGTTATTCTTGGCGTAGACGTTGGAGAAGTTGGGGAAACACTTGCTTGTTCTTGGCGTAGACGTTGGAGACGTTGGGGAAACACTTGGAGATGTCTTCTATGGAAATACACATGATGAAGCTGTTTTATACGATAAAGGTATCTTACTTGTTAAAGATTTTGACCAAAAAATGAACAACCCTATATGTGTTATTTAAAGATATAACAAACTCGTGGTATTAAACAAAAAAGTTGATGAACATATTTAAGATTAACTGTAGGTATATATTATTCTATAAGATTAGATGCAAAATTAATATATTTAATCTAAGATAATTTTTTGTCCAAGATTAAAGAATACATTCATAATTACATGTGGCACTCGTCTGTTTAATAACATTTGGTTAGATAGCAAATTCTTTATATTAAAAAAAATAAATAAAGAAAATATTTGGCTAGACCTAAATTATAGGTTACCTTTTGCAAGAATCAATTTTAAGACAAGTATATTAGATTTTTTTTTATTGTCAACGACAAATATATTAGATAATTTGTGGAATTTCAGTTTTTTTTTTTTTTGTGAACTTTTGGATAATATCTTAACAACAATATGTAACAGTGATACATTAGAAGTTTTTGTTATGTGAAAATGAATCTTTATATACAAAAATTTTTCATAATAAAGTTACAATGGCTAGAGATTAAGAGAGACATCTCATGCATTAAAAAATAACAAACACTTTGAAATTGGTTTTGCGAAATCCCAAATAAGTAAAAAATTTACAACATTAAAAAAGTAGAAATTATATGCTTTTAGACAATTAGTGGAAGTTCCAATTATTGCTTAATACTAAAATTCCGGTAAATCGGGTTATTCTATTTTAATTGTATAGTATACCTGCAAGGTTGTGATGTCTTGAGCATCCTAAGCATCCTAATTCTTTAGGCGACTTGGTAGTTGTTCTGGAATTTGCAACCAGAAACGAGATAATACACCTCGTTCTTGAGCAGCTACCTGTTTGTTACACATAATACACAAAACAAACCCATGAGAGATGCCATCTTTAATTCTCCAAATCAAATTTAAAAGATGATGACTATCACAAGCCTCGATTCACTATATAATCCTCCTCATATGGATGATTCTCTTGTCCTTAAAAGTTGACATATGAGGATATGATTTTTTTTTTTTTGATCAAACTGAGGATATGAGGATATGATTGTCCTTCATTTCTGGCGCGTCAAATCATATTCGTTGTAGATTAACCACTCAAGTGTGTGATCCAAGCAATTCGATGGATGCAGATGAACCACCTGCCAAACCAAGAATTTTAACCATGAGGATTAAAACAATAGAATAACGTTTAAATGGAAACAACAATATAAACTGAATTTTTCTCGACATACTTGGTGGTTGTCTTTGACTGTCAAAGTAATGGCCACTGCGTTCTAAGTAAGCATTGCCTTCCTTACAATGTTGATGGTAGTAGTTAAAATCAGTGCTTCACATCTTCAGGTCGAACCTTGACATTATCTATCCGGACTAGCTGCTTTCTAACATTGTCTGCAGATTTCATAGCACCAATTGGTATCTTCATCTATGACAATTTACTTTGAACAAGTTAGTTACGATAAATTTTGAACGTTGAAAGCAGCTATAAACAAAAGAGGAAGAGAAAGAGATAATCACTTACTGTTTTGCTTAAAAGCGTGTTAGACGTTCAACAATGTGAGGTGATCTCCATCAATGTGTCCAAAGATAGCTTTAGCTTTATCTGCTGCTTTTTGAGCCTCTCTAGGCCGAATAAAGCAGAGAAAGAAATGGTATTTATAACAAAAGAGGTCCATGGAAGAGATGCATAGAGGCGGTGAGACTGATACCATTCACTTAATGAGAGAGAATAACTGAGAAATTGCAACAACTACTAGCTGCATTGGCACTTACTTAGTATAATCATGGGTCATAACTCATAACACATACTAGTGACTGCTGATGATAAACCTAACTCTAATGCTTAATTCTAAATGATAATCATACATATGGAAGAAAAAGGATGATTTCTAATGCACTTTAGACTAGTTGCAGAATGGAAATTGTTATCAAGTTTAAACTTACCCTTTACTACATACTTAACCAAAGCTACCAAGAATATTAAAACAAAAACAAAAGTGAGGGGGTGGTACCTGAGAACATAGCTGAAACTTAGAAAATTTGGTTTGTAGTTGAACTGAGAACTGACTATGAACAATTGAACATGCATCTTTTCGACATATGTGGATTCAAGGGGAACTGATCACTCATTATCTCACATGTCTTTGTCAAGTTACCTTCATCATCAAGTGCTCCCAAGTAATTCCAAACTACTATGACTCGCATCAGCGTTTCAGGAGCAGGGGGGTCCATAAAATTGAAGTGTACCACCACAGGTCATCAAGTCAGAACTGTGTTTGCAAGGTTTGATCTCAATATTTCAGGAAAGGCCTACAGCTGCAAGTCATTACTAAAACTCTTCTCTGTATAAATCTTGTAAAAACTCTTCTCTGGTGAGCAGCACTTGACTTTGAAATAGGGTACACACCAACAATGACTCAACACGGATTCTTGGGTCGCAAGGCTGTGGACTCAAAAGTATCAACACTTTTGAGTCACTCTTCTCTCAGGAGCATACCATGAGTCAAGTACCTGGTCATATTAAGTAACACATGATTCGACACTTCAGTACATAACATTATAACGAAGCGAAGCTAGAAGAGAGACAATGCTTACTTAAGTCTTAAGCACGGTTCTAGGGTCTTCAAAACGAACGCTGTAATTAACAAACTTCTTCCCCAATAGTTTTTCAGCAAGCACGACGAGACAAGAGACATAGACATGGCTACAACAACTCTACGAGGTTGTCATGTGTGCATCCAACCAAACCACTTCCTACGCTTATCCGATGTTTTAGCATCCAC